CTGCTTAAACCCACACACACAAAGAACCTATACTACTCACATCCTCTAGATCACAAACACTTCACCTAAAAGCAAATACACTTTTCTCTCAAAGATTTCGAGATTCTCCAGGAGTTTTGAGCTTTTCACCCTCTTTTGGTAAGTAAATTTCATCCTTCACCTTATTATCCCATACTTCTTCACTCAAGTCATGGATTTCTCACACAAATATCGTCATATTTGTTGTTAGATCTTCAAATCTTCAAGTATCTCCCAAGTGTTCTTGACTTGGAAACCTCTCTTGTTCCACCTTCATCTTAGGGAATAACTCAAGGTGAGTTCATACCCCCACATTTTCATGTTTTATTCAAGTTTTAGGGGGGGAATACAAGTAAAATACCAAAAACTTAACTAAACTCAAACATCAGCTTTCAACAGGAAAGTTTAGTTCCATTCACGGATTGTTTTAATCATCTTAAACTTAATATCTTTCAAAACTGTTTAATATGAAAATATTTCAGGTTCATACCTTTAAAATGACTACTTGCACATCTCCATACGATTTTTCTACAATTTACGGTGATTTTCACAAAACTGCCTATCATTTCAGATTCGAATTCGGACCAATCTGTGAATATGAACATTTTCACACAAGTTAGAGACTTATAAAAATCATAATAAAAATTATGAATAAACTAGACACATTTTCTAAACTCTCAGAGTTTACGGATTCAGTTTTCGACTTCGTATGATTTTTCTATGATTTTCGTAATACAGTGTAGAAAGGTTAAAAACTAGTTACATAGCTTACCATATTAACAACACTTTGTAGTATGTTGAGCAAAGTGCATAACAATAAGTTTCTAAATTTTGGATGTATTTCTTGTTAGTTTATCATCATAAAAAGAAATTAGTCATTCATGATAAGGTTTTTCATTCATTTCGAACACAGATAATAAACTACAATAAGTATAGTTTATGGATTTTACAATAAAAGCATACTACATGAAAAAGGTTTTACTTTCAAATCAAACGGGTTTTTCATATACTACATGATAAACTATGATAGTAATAGTTTATGGATTTCATATCACGAATTTATTACATAGAAGGTGATTTCACTTCCACCACGGAAGAGGTTTTATACTCAAACTATATGTAAACTAGTTAACGTAAGTTGTGAGACAATTCTTCCATCGTACTCTTAGAGTACGGGTTCAAATTCCTGTAAGTTATAACCAAAGTCTCTTGTAGGGAGAGCGTGATAATTGTGTATAGATCTATATTGGGATTGACACCCCACACCTCGCTGCTAGCTACAGCCGGACCTGCAGGTCTACGGGTGACAAGAGTCATAGGATCTTGACGTCTGAAAAACGTTGTTGCAGGTTAATTCTCGTTATAGTATGGTTATAACGGCTTACATAGGGAGTTAACAATCTTTCAAGTTTACGGGGAAAATTCTATTTTAAAAAGGGGTTTTATCTATTTAAAACTATAAACATTATAAGTACAAAACAAACACATATTCTCGGTCTTGGGATTTAAGGCTACATAACTTTTTATAAGGAAAATATTGGATTTTCTTTGGAAACACATTACTATTATAAAAATTATAAGTACAAAACACACACATATTCTCGGTCTTGGGATTTAAGGCTACATAACTTTTTATAAGGAAAATATTGGATTTTCTTTGGAAACACATTACTATTATAAACATTATAAGTACAAAACACACACATATTCTCGGTCTTGGGATTTAAGGCTACATAACTTTTTATAAGGAAAATATTGGATTTTCTGGAATCATACTCTATCGCTTTTACAAGAAAACGGCTTCTTTCTCAAATAAAACTCTTATGAACTCACCAACTTAATTGTTGACACTCTTTCAAAACTACTTGTATTCTCAGGAAACCAATAAAACAGGAAATCAACAGCTTTTGAGGATGGGACGTTGAATCGTCAAACAGTTCATTTTGTCATCATAGTATAAATGATTTTGGAATATGTAAACTCGTACTTCGGTGTAACTTTTTCATTTATGTTATGATGGTTGTACTTACTTTGAACACTATTATACTCGTTGTTGTGATACTATACATGAAGTCCTCCACCCCCGGACGTTTCCGCCATCCTTGGTTTGGGGGTGTGACATAAAAGGGTAACTAAACTGTCACTTCTGTTCACATTTGATCCATTTTTTATTTTTTAAAGACTATTGACATTAAACTCTCATTTTTTGTCAAATTATACTCTTACGACCGACAATAACCCGTATTGTTGGTTTCATCTCTTCAAATAATAAAATACAACTTTTACAACCAAAACGTTCATTAAATACGAGGAACATGACAGGAACATGAATTTGAAATTCAACCTCGTGCTAATTTCATTTCGTGTTATGTATTTTGTCGTTTCGTATTTGTGTCAAGTGTAAAAAACACTAAGTCATCTCATGTCGTGTTTGTGTTCAAACTTTGATACGAAAATTGACACGGTATTAACATGTGTTTGTCATGTTTGTTGTGTTTTGTAATATTAACTAAGAATTAAATAAACTAAAGGTTTTTATTTTTTCCCTTGGTTGACATGTTGATCGTTTCTATCGTGTTTTAATTGAGTTGCTTTTGTGTTAGTAAAACAAAACATGACATCACGTTGTGTTCGTGTTCTTGTTATATAAACAATTGTCGTGCCGTATCATTCGGCTAAAACACAACATGACCGCCTGATTATAAAAATTTGACTGTTATTTTGTTTGGGGGTTATCATATTTATTGAGGGTTTAGTCATAACGGTTGTATTTTACGATTATAAGGGTTGAAACCGACAATACGAGTCATTGTCGGTCATAAGAGTATAATTTAAACACAAAATGAGAGTTTAATGATCAATGGTGTACAAAAAGAAAGTGATCAATTATGAACAAAATCGACAATTGGTTACCCTCTTAAGTCATACTTAATATCATATGCCGCATATATATCATGTAGATGTCAATTGAGCGTTAACCTACTACAACCAGTCGTAAATATATAATTTAAATACAAAATAAAAATTTATTAGTCGATGTTTAAAAAAATAATAAGATCCCCCTATTCTAATAAAAGAATAGTTTTATTCTCCTTTTGACATGTGTCACCATATTAGGCCTCCTAATTAATGCATATTTTATTCTTTTTTTTTTGTCATGTGTCACCCTATTATGTCTCATAATTAATGCATGCCACTTGTCAACCTATTGGTTCTCCATTTCAAATTCCAATTTTTAAAATTTCCACTCTAATTATATTAAATTAATAATATTAGAATAAAAATTAATAAAAAATTAATTCAATTTATAAAGTGATGTAATTTTATATATTTATTTAAATCAATGATTATAATTTTATATAACTAAAAAAATCTCTTAATTAATAATTTATTTAAAATAAGTAATTAATAATTTTGAGTTTTTACTATAAAGGTTTAATTATTTTGTAACTGTGGTTTCTACGGGTTATAAACTAGTATAAAATATAAACAAGAATGACAATTAGTTATTCTTGGTTAAAAAATAATAAAATATAAACAAGAATGACAATTAGACCGGAGGGAGTGGTGCGGTTCCAGACTACAGTTTTGCCACCGTGGCAGCTGAACACCGCCTCTCCGGTGCGGTTAAGGTGTGGCTAAGGGCACAGTGCGACAATGGAAGGGAGCACTTGGTGTGATGGTTTGTGATTGGCTGCCGTTCCAAATGCTCGTTTTTCAATTTTTTTTTAACTATATATATATATATATATATATATATATATATATATATATATATATATATATATATATATATATATATATAATATATAAGGTTTTTAACATTCAAAAGGGAAGCTACTTGAGGCTAGGAATTGAATTACTTTCAAAAATTCGAGTTTGGGTTTGTTAACAATTGAGGAAATCAGGCAGCACGAGAAAGAAGACATCCTATTTTCTGAATTTGGCATAATAGGTCCCTGGAGTTTGGTCTACGAACAGAAAAAAACCCCTGCTTAACTTTTCTCTACATAATTAGTTTCAGAAATAACACAATCTACCCTTGACTTATAAATCCCAATTATTTATTAAACAAAAAAAAAAATCAAAATGTGGCACCACTCCTTGTGTGTGGTATGAAACCACACTTTTATGGTAAATGGTGACATGGCGTCTACGTGACACTGCAGTTTCATGAGGGAGTGCACCACTCCCTCAAGCCTTAGTCATCTTTCAAAATCTTTTTTTTATTTAAAATTTTAATGTATAAATATGAGGTTAATATAATATAGGGATAATTACTAAACTAACCAATTAGGGAGGTAATTAACAATTTTTAGCCAAAAATTAAGCTTTGTCCCAAACTAGCCCACGAAACAGTAGTTATTTATATTCGTCTACTGTTTCGTGTTTTCTATAATTTTTTGTTTTTGAAGTAACAAAACCGTAGGTTTTTTTAAAACCTACGGTATTCTCTCAATAAAATACGGTTTCTCAAACCGTAGCCTACGGTTTGGGTAAAAAAGTTACGTTTTTTTTTAACTACGGTTTTGTGGTAAAAGCTACGGTTTTGTGCTAAAAACTACGGTTTTTTTTATTAATTTTTTCAATATAGTGTATTTTTTCTATATTAAAAAAAATTAATAAAAAAAACCGTAGTTTTTAGCACATAACCGTAGCTTTTACCACAAAACCGTAGTAAAAAAAAACGTAACTTTTTTACCCAAACCGTAGGCTACGGTTTGGGAAACCGTATTTTATTGAGAGAATAATGTAGGTTTTAAAAAAACCTACGGTTTTGTTACTTCAAAAAAAAAAATTATAGAAAATATGAAACAGTAGACGAAACACCGAAACAGTAGATGAATATAAATAACTACTGTTTCGTAGGCTAGTTTGGGACAAGACTCATTTTTTTGGCTATTTTTTATAAGTCATTAACAATTATGGGTAGGTTAGTAATTTTCCCTATAATATATTGCAACATGGCCCATGTGGTTTCATTTCTTGAAGTTTCCCCCTTCGTCGTTTTGACAGTTCGGTTTCTCCGCTCATTCCTCTATTTCGTTTCCTCCCTCACTCAACTCTTCTCACAGCATCCATGGCGGTTTCCGATCTCTCATTTCTCGCTCTTTGCGCTCTTATTCCAATCATCTTTCTATTCTTCCTTAAACTCATCGTCCGTCCTCGCCCTATCAAAATCCCAATCAAATCCCGTCACGTATTGATCACTGGCGGATCCAGCGGCATCGGCTTAGCTCTAGCTAACCAAGCCGCTGCTGAAGGTGCTCGCGTTACTATCTTAGCACGTAACCTTGAGAAGCTCGAGGAAGCCAAGGCATCTATCCGCCTCTCAACTGGCATAGATGTCGCTATTGTGAGTGCTGATGTATGCGACTTGGAAGCTGTTAAGGAAGCAGTGGATAGTGTAGGTCCAATCGATGTTTTGGTTTGTAATCAAGGCGTGTTTGTTGCTCAAGAGCTTGAGAATCAGGAGATGAAGGAGATTAGAGACATGATTGATATAAATCTGATCGGGACTTTTAATCTGGTTAAGGCGGCGTTGCCGGGTATGAAGAGCCGGACTGATCGGAAACCAGTTTCGATCGCATTCATGTCATCTCAGGCCGGTCAGGTACATTCTGTCAGTGTGTGTGTGCTTCAAGCTTTGTTACTTTCAGACCGATTAAGTAGTAATGTACGATATTTTCCACTACACAACTAGGGTTTATGAATTGAAATTGCGATCTTAAATGGGTAAATGGCTTGGTGATGGAAGTTACTTGTACAAATTGTTCCAATCAGAACATGTGCTTGGTATCTTTGGCTCAACTAGTCCACAATAAACCCTCGAAACTTTAGTTGGTTTGTTCAATTGCTAATGAACCCTGCAAACTTTGGATAAAGATCTTCATAAGCATGTATGTGTAGGCATCTTCTATTATTGTCTGCTTTGAAGACATCTGCCGCGTGCTTTAGAGATAGGCTCAGAGTTCTTGTAAAACCTCAACACTTCTGGTTTCTGCTAGAGTAGAAAGTGAGAGAGACATGTTCAGTTACATTGTATTTTCTTTCTCCATTCCATGATGAAATGGGAAAGAAGTCAAGAACACTCACTGTCCATGAATGAAAATCAACCATATGAAAAGAATCACATTCCATTCTATAGGACAAAACAAACATCATTTTTCATCCCAATTCAATAGGCCATTTGACTTGTTTACTTGTTAGTTAAGTTCTATTACCTGCTAAAAGTTTATGTTTGAAAACAAAGTTTTTTGTATTCATCTCTTCTATCGGTTTGGCCCATTAGCAATGAAATATAACCCATTCACATAAACAGATTAAAAATAGCCCCTTCTAGCTTTATGGATCGTGTTTTTTTTTATTACTTTTTTATTTTTATTTTTAGGTTGGCATTTATGGGTATACAGCATATTCAGCTAGTAAATTTGGGCTAAGGGGTTTAGCAGAAGCTCTGCAACAAGAAGTGATTGCTGACAACATTCATGTTTCACTTATTTTCCCTCCAGACACAGACACACCTGGTCTTGCAGAAGGTTCTAGAAACTGCTACTCTTTGAATTTTCATTTGTGTGGATAAAAATGGAAAAAGAATACTTATTAAATTTAAATAAACATTTTGTGTGGTTATTTATTACAGAGAATAAAAGAAAGCCACGTTTGACAAGCATCATAGCAGCATCATCAGGTGCAATGAAAGCGGATGAGGTGGCAAAAAAAGCATGGAGTGGGATAAAATCTGGGAGTTTTTTTGTCCCATGTAATTTGGAAGGATTCATGTTGTCAGTAGCTACTGCTGGTCTTTCCCCTCAAAGATCATATCTCATGGCTTTTGTTGAAGTTATTTCAGCTGGTTTGATGCGTGTTGCAGGGTTGTGTTTTCAATGGTCATGGTATGGAAGCATTGAAAACTTTCATGCCCAACACAAATAGATGATGATGAGTTTTTATCTTGTATTATGAGTTTCAGAACACCTTATTATTATTATTATTATTATTATTATTATTATTATTCATGTAGACTATTGGAAAACAAGCTAGGTTGTGCGTTGTGAATTGTGATTGATGTGTTAATTGCGATGATAATAATAATAATAATATTAGCAAATTAGCAACCCCTTTTTGACTCTCTAGGAAATGTGTCGCAACCCTTTTTGACTTCTGAAGGGGCGATGATGGCTAAACATTTATGATTAATTAATTGTATAATATAGGTTACAATGTATTATTATTATTATTATTATTTTTAAATAGGTTATGTAAACGATTTGTTAAGAAACCTAACCTAAATTATAAATTTATTCTGTTTGGAGTTAAATAAAAAAGGTGTTCTTAACGTTTTTAACCGTAATCCATCGTAGAAAATAGGGGTAAAACCTGTCCAAACCCGACCCAAATGGATCAAGAACTGGAAAGTAGGATTTAATAGAATCGGAAAATGGATTTAGTATAACCAGAAACCGGATTGGTATAAAGGTTCCAAATACAAGACCGGGTAAAGTGGATCTAGAACCTGAAAACATACAAACGTCAAAACGGGTAGGGTGGAACTAGGTAAAGTGAGTTTAGAATCGAAAACCATAAAAACTAGGTAATGTGTAATTTGTGAAACTTTTAAAAATTACATAACTCATTCGTTTGAGTTAAATTGATATAAAAAAATCATTTTCAGGATGTAGTTTATAGTTTATACTTCAATTTATGCCATAATTTCATCATTTTTTGTTCCATATTAAATGGGTTACAGTTCCCCGAAATCGAGATACAAAAGCTAGAAAATTTAGACACGGTTTCAGACACGGTTTTCTGGGTTTCGAGCTGATTCCTAGTAGAAAATTTAGGGGTGAGCATGTCTAGGAACCATATCGGAATGAAATTGGGATATTGTGCAAAGTGCAAAACAAAAACCAAACTGTATGTGTATATATGGTACCGGTTTGATTTTGGTTCCGGTTTTCGATAAAACCGAATAAGGCATGAATGATAAATATATGTATATGAATTAAATCTATATACAACTAGGGTAAGCATATTGGCCAGAAAAATCAAACCAAAATGAAAACCGACAAGACCAAACCGATAGCCGTTTGGACCAAAACTGAAATTTAGGAAATTATAAAACCAAATACCGAACCAGAAAATCTATTCAGTAATGGGCTCGGTTCTAGACTGTTTTCAATTTGGTTCACTTTTTCGGGCCCATATACTCACCCCTAGTAAGAATATTGTATCTTTTAATTTATGATCATGTTTTAAATAAATAAATAAGTAAAAAAAAATAAATAATTATATATATATATATATATATATATATATATATATATATATATATATATACACACACACACACACGATAACGTGCCTCCTAGCCATACGGGGATGGTTCAAGGTACTAACCATAGGATTGAGTGGAACACACATGCAATCCAACCGCCCCACTAAGGTTCCAGCCTACACTGGACTAGCCCTGTTGTCCGGGGTCTAGATTGAAACATGCGCATGAAAGTCGTTAGGTGACAAACAGGCACCTGCCAACTCCCGTAACGGTAAACGCACCTCTACCATGGTTAAGTCAATCGGGGCTTAGGCATGAGAAAAAGATACGATCCACCAATCAGTGTCATTGTCCCGATTCGAGTCTGACACTCTTGTCTCCACGAGCGGGATCTGTGCCAAGGCTTTACTATAAAAGGTTACTCTCCTCTAACGGTAAAGGGATATATTCCTCTCTCTCTCTCTCTCCCCCTCTCTCTTTGTAACATTTGTAATATGAGTTTAAAGGTGGTCGCGACGTGAGGGAAGCACAACTACTTCGTGACATGGCACCATTGATCGGGAATGTTCATTTAAGTGTCACGAAGTGACACTCTATGGGTCACGAATTGACACATGATCAATTGTAAAACCCTAAAATTCAGACTTGGACCCTATTTAAAGGAAGTGACGGGCTAGGGTTCCTTCACCCTTAGCCTCTATCACCTCAAATCGACTCTTTGACCAAACCCTAGCTCTCTTGAAGCTTTTGAGCTCGTTCTTGCAAGTTGTGGTGGTTTTGAAGGAAGGAGAAGAAGTTGTGGTGCTTTGTTTCCACAAGCAATCTTACCTCTCATTTATGTGCATCTTCTAGACTCTTTGTAAGTCCTCCAAGTCTCCATCTTTTTATGATTCATCTTTAGATCTAGGTTTTATGTCTTGTTTTGGTCCCTTTGAGGTGGTTAGAATGGGTTGAAGATATAGAGTTTGAAACTTTATGGGTTCTCTATGTCCCTTGAGCATCATATCTTATAGATCTAGGTTTTGATGGTGGTTTGAGGACTTCTCTTGGATCTTAGGTCATTTTGCACCTTTTGATATAGATTTGGGAGAGGACATTCATGGGGCATTGATGTCCATAAGGTTTGTATTTTTAGGGATCATTAGGGTCCCTAAAACCTTTCTGGAAGTTTTGGATTGAAGACTCCATGGATTAAGTGCTTAATAGAGTATTCCATGCATGAAAATTGTCATTAAGGACCTTGGACTTGAGATCTTGACTTAGAGTGATGTCTCAATGGATAAGGTTGGAAACTTTATCCATTAAGACCCTGGGGCGAATCAGATCTAAGAATTGAAACTTGTGGGATCAATGGAAAATGGCTTAAACCATTAAGCTGGAAAGTTCAGTTTTCACGACGTGACACCCTTACTTTCACGATGTGGGGACTGGGGTCTTCCCCGATTATTTTTGAATGTTCTCTGTCACGACGTGAAGACCGGTACATCACGACGTGACGACAAGTTGGACTGAGTTTGAGCTGAGTTGAGTTGGAGTCGAATCGTGACTGAGTTGAGACCAGGTTGAGCCCGTTCTCACGACGTGACCATGAGTTGGTTACGACATGAGGGTTAACTGATGGAAGAGTTGGCCGTTGACTTGTTTACATGGTTTGACTTTTGGGCCAAAATGCTAGTTTTAGAGGTTAGACTAAGGTGGGACCTTGTTTGATTCAATAGGTGGGTCGTAGCATCGTTCATGGTGACTGTTGGTACATTGTATTGTGATTGATTTTGAGACACATGATTTATGGATTTGATGATTTTAGAAATGAAAAATTTTATGTCGGTTTTTGGGATGTTACACACACACACACTCTCTATACATCTCTCTCTCTCTCTCTCTGTATATATCTATATAATCTATATATATATATATATATATATATATATGAGTAGGATCAAATGAGAACACCTAAAAGGTTGAGAACGCGAGAACAGATCTGAACCATTTAAATACTTAGATCTAAGGTTATTATTAAACAGACGATTTATGAAAAATTCTAAAACTAATGGTATTAAATTGTAACTTGTAAATGATCAGAAGGGCATAATAGGAATTGCAAAGTTCTTTACCTATTACCTATAATTTTCTCACCCACTCACCTCTGTTCTTTCATCTTTCCGTATCTCATTCCCCCTCCGTCTCTCTTCTCTCTCTCTAGGGTTTTATAATAAATCTGCCTCCATCATAAACATACTACCACGAGGAACTATTCAGCATCATCACCTCACGCCGCGGCCACCATCGTTGTACCCATCACCGGTGACACCAGAAGTGGCGCCGATGAGACTGGATGAGGCGCCTCCTTATGTCACCTTTCACTCGATTCTAGGGCTACGAATACACAGATACGCAAGAGCAAAAACGAAAAGAAACACTTCTGCTCCTCGTGTTCTTCTTTCTCTTTTCTAGACTAACCACAAGTCAATTATTGGCAAACGAGTACTCTTTAAGAATCCATCAGGTAATCAAACCTTATTGGCTATTTTTGATTATTCGATTTCTGATTTGAATACGAGAGCTTTGGTTCCCTACTTTATACTTGCGGATTTCTGATTATGAAATTTTCAAGTTCTGATTTCTGAATGTGAAGAATGAAGTTTGATTTCTGATTCTGAAAACTGTTGGGTTGAATAAGTGTTGCGTCATGGGCTCGGTCCTTAGCCCAGTTTTGCTATCAGGTTGGGCCTGTCCAACCATGATTGTTTTGTTTAGGGTTTAGTATTTAAGGTGCATGCATGCAGCCTTTAAGAGTAGCGCTTTGATAATTATTAACTTATTTTGTACTACAAACCCTAGCTCGCCTCTACAGTGGAAGTTCTTTGTCGAGCTCTGCTGAGGTGTGACTACATTTGAATCATTAAGCATCATTTGATTCTATATTGTGTTCTTTGTGTTTATTTAATTTTTTGTTTAACCTGTTGAAGATCTAATCGATCTAAGAGTTTTTCAACTCAACAATTGGTGTCAGAGCAGGAGACTGTGTAATTCATACACATCTCTTCTGTTGAAGAAGATCTTAGGGTTTTTCCGCTTAGATTGATATTACTAGAGCCGTCATCTGCTATTGACGTGGTTCTTTAAATATTCGATCGTACCCTAACATTATTTACAAGTCTGATCTTAAGCAGGTTTTAAACAAACATCGACACATCCATGGATGATTCTCAGTCAAACCCAATCAACATCTCAAACAACATAGGATCGACAACAAGGATTCCTATTTTATACACTCAAGATTATGAGGTCTGGGCGCATCACTTTGAAGACTACGTGATTGGCTCAGAAGATAATGGATACTTAATCTGGGAGGCGATCACTGTTGGTCCATTCGTTCATGCAAGTACCTCAAGAGTTGTTAAAACTCAAAAGGAATATAATCAACTCATTGGTGACGTGAAAGATATACCTCAAGATGAGAAGGAAAAGTTTCAGTGCAATATCAAAGCTTTAAGGATGATTAGGTTTGCGTTATAGTTAGACACGTTTCGGCTGGTAAGCTCATGCACGACAGCAAAGGAAATATGGGTCAGGTTGAAGGAATTGTACTCTACAGATGAAGATCTTGAGCACTCAATCCAAACATTGTTGCTCTCAGAATTTGGTGATTTCAAGCAGAAGCCTGAAGAGAAGCTTGTTCAATCCTTCGATCGCTTCAATCATCTCTTAA